TATGTAGTGATATTGCTTGCAGCCAATGTTGCATAAATTTTGTATAATATGATGTCATGGGGTAGGACTGGATAAGTTTGACTTCTTCCTACTCCATTCAAACATGTAATAGGTGTAAGCAAACTGATTTTGAATTAGCATTGGTTGGATATGTGTAATCATGTGTGTTATTGTCATTTGTTCATTGTTCTGTTCTGTTCTGCATGTTTGAAAGAATAAATCAATCAATCAATCAATCAAGTGGCCCAGCGGCTCGGCCACAAACACTCACCTGTTATCTATTTGCCTTTGTACAGTAGCGAAGCTGTGAAGTGCTGTATTTCCTGGTTGTGGCTGAAACTATACTATACTACCAAATTTGTAGGTTGCACATAAAGCACGTTAACAGAATTAAAGATAAATCAGCGTCCCCGACACAGTATCGACTACAAACAGGCAGTAGGGTTGACAGTAAAACAGCATGGCGGGATGAAAAGGTGAGGAAGGCAGCAAAAGAACCAACAGTCACATGTCTACAGCTTTTATGCAAAAAGGCTTCATAGAAATTTTTTTTTGATTTTCAAAGAAAGCTTTTCTTGTTTAACTGTGAACAAAACCTTGCTTTAATCTAATGCCACATTCTCATCAGCTTAAGAACTTTTCGAACATGAGGAATGTTTGAATGCATGTATGAGACCCAGCAGATCTGAATCTCCCCAGCGTTGCAGATTCAACCTAATGAGGTGGTTTCAGCCTGGAGCTCCACACCTGACAGACAAGCTGAGTGATGAAGGACTGAGTCGGGTGTTTGATGCCCAAACCAATAAAAACAAAAGACTGTGAACCAGGGAAATTATAAATATAACTCAGTATAACGTAAAAAAAAGCAACAACAACCATAAAATAAACCCATTTACTGAATCTCCGAAACCAAATGTACACCCACATAGCTTTAATGTAACTGATTTGTATTGCTTTAATGATTTTTTTTCTTCTTCTTAGGAACAGGTAAGCCATGACAATATAATGTAAATGATAAGCACGGACAAAATCCGAGACCCTTTTGTACATCTGTAGTAGCACGTTCATACAAGTCTGTCTGTACATAGGGGTCACAGAAACCACTTCTTTTACACTGAAACAACAAAGTAACTTTTGACTCAAAGCCACAGGTACAATGCATTTTTAGTTGTTTTTGTGTGTGTAAATTTAGAACCCTTTTTTCTCCCTCCAAATAACTAAAACAAGAATTTAAGAGCGTTAGTAGTCAATTTAAGTGCACTGTACCTCTTTGCTTTCAATAAAACACCACCATACATTTCTCCATTCATCAACACTGACTGCAAAAACTGCAATTATGTGATAATGCAACAATGAAAGAAAAAATTTTAAAAACATGTCTGGAAAAATCAAAGAATAAATATGAATAAATAAATCACTGACTTTCAAGAGGGCCAGAGAAAAAAACACCTTTGGCAGTCTGACAAAGCTTTAGCCTCATGGTGAGACACATCTAACTTTATTTACCTCCAGCTTTGACACCCATATGGAATCTATGGCACTCCTCTTTTGGTACGGTGTATATAAGTGCTTTGTTTACACATTTCCAAATTGGGGCACAGCGAACCTGTTCGCTCTTGAATGGGTGATGGAGGTGGACAGGTTTTTCTTTTTGTGATACACCAGTTAAAACATCAAAACACTTTCATCATCTGCAGCTGTATGTCTTGCTGTTGAAAAGCAGGGGCCCCTGTGTTACATATATGACCTATGAAACCAATTTCTGAGCCCTGGCTGGTTCAGTTTTCTTAGGTTTACTGATAATGCTGAGCAAAGTGTGTCAAATGTGAAACACAAAGAGGAAACTGAGTAGCAGTTGAACATAAAAACCAACACACAGCCAGTCAGCATAAAGTGTTTGAATCTTTGGCAAAATCATAATTGGAACTGTCATGGGTGCATACAGCTTTCATATTGCATTTGAGGTTGGCTTCTGAACTTTTGCATGCTTCCCTCATCTAAAATCGGCATGTCTTTACCTTAAAATCTACTAGCTACAATGCATTTGTTCTATGAGTGTGTTTCTGCTGCTGAAACACACTCAGATGCTTCTGTCCATGCAATTCAGACACTTGGATTCTGTCTCATTCATGCCCTACCTCATTCCGAGATAATGCAAAACATGAAGAGCCAAAAACAAACATATACATGTACAAAGTAATGTACACCATATATTCAAACACATTTCAAAATCGTCAGACTTTGAAATCATTAGCCAAAATAAGTATATATTTTTCTCAACCCATTAGGTAATCTTCTTTATCTAGACTGTACAATATATGTATATATGAATAATCATGAGGGAACAAAGCAACAAAAATAAATACTTTTTCGCTATGTCACCTTTCAAAGTAGTATATCTATGTACATTTATATCAATATTAATTTTCCTTAGCTTATTGTGAATGGTTGAGCGTGTTCAACAAGCAGGCATTTGCGCACAGTGTGAAAACTTTTTTTTTGTTTTGTTTTGTTATTTCTTTGATTTGCCCTAAAACGTATCTAAATGTAAATTTTGATGACGCTGTGGAAAAACATGAACGGACCGTCCTTGATACAGTGAAGGGTAACCCTGGCTCAACTGAAATGCAAGAAAAAAATGTAAAAAATATATCTCACCATCATGTGACTACTTCAACAATGGGTTGTCTACTTTTCGGGAGAAGAGTACAAAAATGTTCTCTATTTCATGCAGTCTTTGACAAGTCATACAGCCTCAGCGTACTTGTCTAAAGGTTTTTAAGTTGTTTTAGCACACACCATATTATGTTTATAGTGATGCTGAATGTAACTATGAGGGAGGGTGCATTTTGGGACAACAACATGCATAAAGAACAGTGCATAGGTCCAGGTCAGTGGGCCAGTCCCTGGTGATTTCCAGTGTGTTTCAGTGGCAGCATCTATCAACAGATTCACTACTGCAAGCAGCTGGGATGGGTAAGATTATGTGAGCGGGGTGTAGGGTCCAAGCCTTAATGAGTGGTGCCATCTTGTGGACAAACAGTCTTCCTCGCTCTGTCTGCCATGCTATCAGGAGCTTGCTGATTTCAGGCAAGAGTGATCCAATAAGCGGGTTTTGAGAGAGAGCCATCGGGCTAGGACCTGAGGCAGAGGTGATGCACGTGTGACTGCACTGACACAAAATGTGGTGACCTCAGCGTGGCAGGTTTTTGAGTCTGGTCTGCTATGCACAGTTTAGTTCAGTCATTTTACTGCAGAGCCCTTTCCAACACACGGCAGACCCAGAAATGGCCACTCTAAGGATTTCACAATGACTTTTGTGGAAGATAGAGGAACCAAGCTTAAGAATCAAGCTAACATGCATAAGGTCTTCAGACACTGTTTTGCTAAAAGCCATCAAGGCCAACTTTTTTTCCTGAAGACAAGTTCAAGGAGAAACTCTTTTTTTTTTTTGTTCAACACTTCATCTTTTGAAAAGAGGAAATAATAATGGCTTAATAGCTACATCATTCTTTCACTTGTATTGCAACTACCTTTGGTAAATCAATCAACAAAAGTGACAACATAGAACCCTGAAACATACTAGTCCTTACATGTTCCATGACTGAACTTAACACTTTTCCTTTAGTCTTTAGGTAGCATTTACTTCTAGCACAGAGTACCCTGTGAATACATTTTCTCCCTTCAATGGCCTCAGTGTCACATTCACAGCTCCACACTGCACATCCTCTAGCGCCACTTTGGATCCACAACAAATCCTTCAAATAGACTCTTCCAAAAAAGACAGAGACAAACCAACAAGACAGAGAGAACAAAAAACAAAACAGAGAAGGAAACAGAAACAAACCAGCAGGAAACAGAAAAAAAGGATGCCATCGAGTCCTGACCAACAAGACATCAACGAAGAAGGAAGATTTCAAAATCGCCGCTGCTGCTGGGACATTGGGAGGTTTCACCGCTTCATCATTTTGGAAACAAAGCTGACGATGGCTGAGGCAGGCTGATCTGGGTCCAGCTCAGCAAACAGGTGGCTGACATTGTCTGTTGTGCTTCCTTGTTTCCTTGCAACAAATCCAAAAAGCCTGAAATAAAGAATTATAAATCCCTGTTTAGTATTCTGATATTCTACCAACACAATAACTGAAAAAAAGTTCTTGCAGTAGTTTGTGGATTGTGACTTGCTTGTACATAAAAATGTCTATTTATCTCCAGCTATTTTTATGATTCTTTGTGATTATTTAAACTTACTTCAGTGAGCCACCTCCTTCTTTTCCCCATCTATGGAAAGCAAAGGCAAGAAATGTTTTTTTAAATCAAGTGATCAAAAAAGAGTCTTCTGTTTAGATACTTGTACACAAAAGGGGCCATGAAGGTTCTTACTTTCTGTCCTGGGGATCAGTGTCACAGTAGGTTACTGTGTTAATGGGATAATGTCGTCTGAAGAAAATTCTGTAGCAGGAGAAATGAATGTCGCACAGAAGTTACCATAGGTAGTGAGAATGCTGGGGAAAAGGTATATATGGCAACATTCAGGGGCCACGTGTGATCAGCATCAGGCTTCACACAGGACTCTTTCTGCATCTTTTAAACCCACTGAGGTGTTATGTGCTCTAATCCTTCACTCAAATTTTCTAATAGAGTTTAAAAACTCAAGTAAATTTGAGACCACTGTGAGAAGTGACACATCAACCGTTTAAAAGAAGGATCATAAATGCCAGCCTGTTAAGTTTTAGGTTCTTGCATGTGTTTACTCACTTCCTCTGACTGTCAGTGAGCGTAACGCCCTGTGCAGACACCTTGAAGTGGACAGTGGTCGCAGCTGGCAGAGGGTTGGTCACCAGCGTCTGACTGATTGCCTTGGCAATGGCCTGAGGCCCCGTGAGAGACTCCATGTCCACAGAGTTTATGTAAAGAACATTGCACGCTAGAAGTAACACAGAGTCACTGTTAAAAAACATATTGGGGAAAATTCACACATGCAGATCAAGGTAAGGTGACGGAAGTTGCAGTGAGGCTTGCTGCAAGCATACGTTTGTCATGCACTGTACAGTTGGTACTGTAGCAGATAGAATAAGATGGTGTTTCAATCAAGCAATTTCACTCTCATTATACTGTTCATGCACTTGAACGTTTTCCTAATAACAACAAACTGTTTGGAACATTTTTCAATGACAGTCAGTCAAAGTGCATGGAGCAGAGCAGGGCAAACCAATATTTACCATGGGCTTCATCAGGAACCTTCTGAACTGTAAGGTAAGGGTGACAATTTGTGAGCAAATCAGCTGTTCTGACTGGGCAGTGAAATTATTTTGTGTTTTTAAAGTATTTCAGGTGTTTAGTTAAAGTTCATTTAAATCTTTGTAATTTACAAGCAGTGGCCTTTGTCCTTTTGAGATGCTGCTTTGTATTAGTTTATATGCAGATTTGATTCTAACACATCATCCAGAATGGCTTATTTTTGGTCACCAAGATGCAGAATAAATAAAAAGTAAAGTAATCATTTTTCCATTTGGAAAACCATGAAAAATAAATTACTTATAAATAAATCTTTATTTTAAGTTGCTCTTGAAGTTTCACATCTGATTGTCTCCCATTTCATTCATTGGGCTTCAGCTGTTATTTCCCATTCATAAACTTGCTCATTTCCTGGTTTTGTCATTCTGTCACTCATCTTGATGTGAGGGAGTTCCTGTTATCCATCAATTAGAAAGGATGTTTCCTGATGAGCTGCTGAAAACTAATTGGCCAATGACAATTGACTCTAAAATGTAAAAGCAAACTCTCCACAAGTGAATTGCATTGAATTAATACTGTGTTTTAATTCTCTTTCTTACCTGCTCCCTGCTTCAGAAACTCAACTTGATCCGTTGGTGTGGCGAGTTCCAACGCCTCATCATTTGGGTCTGGTTAGTGACAGATTTTGCAGTGCAGATTACAACTTTTGAAATTGCAATTAAATCATCTATAAATATAAGGGAATAAAAAAGGAGAAGCAACTGACCTTTGGTGGGGATCATCAGCTTACAGGGCAGAGCTAGTGGAGTCATTGAGTGTTGGTATACCAGAGCAGACAGACATCCTACACACAGAGTTTATACAGTACATGTTATACCTGTTAAGTTAGATAACTCTAATCCAACTCAGAGACATCAGAACCCAGTCTTGAACTTACCAAAGTAGGGTTCATTGGGACAACCCTTCAGACGGACGCCTTTAGAGCTCGTTTCAATCAGGAAGTGCCTCACCAGCTCGTTTGATATGTCACCAACTGGAAAAAAATGTTTTTTTTTGGATAAATGTCACTTAATTGTGTCCCTGTGTCAAAATTGACAGCTACACAAGTAACATAGTCACTCAATTTGAAGAACCGTTTTGTCAGAGGAGGGATCCGTTTTGTTTTAGGCACCAGCTAGCTGTAATAAATACCTTTATGTGTCAAAAAAATTTATTGGACCTTTTTTGTTCTGCTGGACAGTCGGTGGGGGGCAGGCCACTTTCATGGCCAAACCGTAGGCCCCACGGAAGGAATGGCTGTCCCTTATAATGAATGCTCCAGGCTCCCTGTCCTTCAACAGATTGATGGCTATAAGAAGGAAAGAGGAGGAGAACAAGGAGGAGCAGAAGCAGAAGAAGAAGATGGAGATTTATGATGAGATTGCAAAGGATGAGATATAAAGGGAAATGGCCAGAAAAAAAGACAGTGATTGAATGAGAGTCAGATGCATAAAATGGATGAGAGGATAAACAGAAGGGCAGCAAAGATGAAAAGAGAATACACGATTAAGTGAAGAATGTCCACCACTGTTACTTTTCTCTCTTTCTTTTTGAGATCAATAAATTTATAGTAGCGTGTTGATGGAACTATCTAACTCTCACCTTGCTCTCTGGAGATGTCTGGCTTGTACCAGAACTTGGAGGTGTCCTGGACAAACTTGACATTCATCTTAATGTCTGGATAACCATCTGTTTGGATGAAAAGAGACAAGGAAATGATTACTATAAAGGCCAGAAGCCTTCTGCCAACTTAAAACAAAAAGCATTCTCATCTTTAAGTGTTTCACCATATATGGACTTGGAGACGTCTGGGAACATGTGTGTGCCGGACAAGTTTGGTGTGCTGCCACCACTGGCCGCTGTCGCGTTCTTGTTGTCTGTCCTCTCTGCATCTCCGCTGGACATGTGCCTCTTTTCTGGCATCTGTGGGGAGATGGGGAAGGCAGGCGTAGAGTGCGGTTGGGCACTACCCTGACGAGATGCAGCCCCCAGCTCATCGGGTGTGCTATG